AGCCACTAAGGGCTGTTTCCAAGACTGGTGGATGAGCATGAAAATATTTTAAAAAAAATAAATAAAAGCTAAAACATCTGAAACAGCCCACACGTTCTTGCTGACTTGAGATTTTGCCAAGAAGAAAGTTGCATAATACAGAGCAGTCGACTACATGTGTAATTAGCATCAAGATTCAGCAAAAATTCATATTGTGAAGATGTGATTTTTGAGTTGAAGGTTGCTGAATCTTGCAGCTTTTTTCCAGCTGCTTTGTAATGTTCTCTTATAAATTAACGGCAATTTTCTCAAATAAATTCTGATATATTATTTGATTTCTGGCAATGTGACTAGTACTTTGAAAAAAAAATTACTTTCTTCTAAATAGACTCTATTGCTGAAAATAAGGGAGTTTCACATGCAAGTTACTTGGAAATGCTGGGTGCCTCACATGAGATGATCTGAGCTTGATCTTTCAGGATGCTGAACACCTGCAATTTTCAGCAATTTCAGGCAAGAAACCAGTTCCCTGGATTCAGCTGCTTATGTCGGGACAGACAGCTGTTGTATGGACACTGCATTTTTTCTCCATACAAGGAATGCAGAATATTTCACATATTGGGCTAGAGCGGACTTAAAGTTGCAGAAGAGAGCCCTGGACAGTGCCAGTCACTTCACTGGGATTCAGGAAAATTACCAAATGACAATAGATGAGGATCAGGTATTTTTCTAGAAGTTTTCATCGAGCAAATCTCTAGGCCATAAGTAAATCTTGCTACTTCTAGGTATAAAACTAAACTTAGAGGGTCTGGTTTTTTTTTTCTTTATATATTTTTTTTAAATACTCATTTCACCTTCAAAAGAGGAAGAGGGGGTGTTTCCATTTTTAGTCTGAAATTCTTTGAAGTATTCCTGTTCCATAGAACAGGGATCTGGATAGAATTTGACAAAAAATTAATTCCTTACTTTAGGTTTGGTTTCAGCAATAAAGAAGTTAATGAGATCACATCTGGTTTTGTCCTGATATACGCTACAGCAGTCCACTGGAAACAGCACCATTTGCTTACAGCTTTTCCTTTTATTCCAAACAGAACCTAACCCAACCTGAATAAATGTTCTTAAACACACTCATAGCAAGACTGCCACAGCAGCCAATTCGCAACCCCTGTGCTGATGGTACTTACCCACAGCTCCAGTTAAGAATTGTTTGCAGTTTCATGACAGCTAAGTAATATTCAGACAGACCTTAAAAAACCATTTTCTTTGGCATATGACAGAATGAAGAAACATTACCAAAAATACTGAAAACTTCATTCCACAAGTAACATTTGAACGCTGACACATCTGGAACAGCTGGGCAACAAGTTGTGCGTGTCGAGTTCAGAAAGCAGCTGCTTTTAGCCTTCATTTCGGGCCAGACGTTTGCTCTCAGCCACCAGCATATTCCATTTTGTTTTGTAGCGGCTTCTTCAGTGTTCCCATATGGACAAGCTAAAGAGCTCCAAGGATGTAACAGCAAGTATGTATAATGTTCTCCTGAAGAAATGAAGGCCAGATGTTGCTTTGTTATCTTCATGTGCGCCCTTAAAAAAGTTAAATTGCTTCAGATATATTATTAATGCCAGGTATAGGCAATTTGTTCATTTGCCATTTAAATGTCAACTTTCCAAAGGATGGGAAATAACATTTTAACTGAGGATTCAAACTGAAGTGAGATTAAACTACCCTAGGCTAACTTAAGAAAATAAGTATAGCAAAATCCAGGATCATAGAGACAAAAAGGTATCGTGCAGAAAAGAAATGATGACTCATTTCCGAGATCTGAATGAGTACTATTTCTGGTTTGTTTTATTAGGAAAGAAAAAAACCCACCCACCTTATTGTTACAATATAATGAAAATTTGGCGTAAGAGTTATGCAGCATCACCACTGATTAAAGATCTTCCACTCTGCTGCTTTACTTAACCAGGATATAACTCAAGCCACCAGTCCAAGTACTAGAGAATTTAGTGGATGTATTACTAACAGTATAATCTCTTAACGTTTTTCATGTCTGAACTTGTGGTTACTACATCTAGTGGATCCAGTAGAGTGGGTAATAATTCTTTCCCAGACTGTCCAGTTCGAGTGATTTAGATAAAATGAACTGTTTAAAATTTTTCTGCTTTCCTGAAAATAGAACCTTATTGGATTAATTTTAGGACATATTTATGAGAAAATATTAACTGACGACTACTTTTCCCCCCTCAGTAATAGTACCAACGAGGTTTGAGTTTCAACCGCCTGGTGAGGTCCTTCTCCTTGAGCCAGTCCATGACATACAAAAATTGCCAACACACCAACTATAACTTTTTAAGTAATGTCACTTTATTAAGGGACTTAAAAGAATCACATTCTCTAGTAGTCTTGGAACAATGCAAATAGTGAACAAAAGACAAAAATAGATGTAATTGGTTCTGAAAAGCATGAACATCTGTAGAGAATGTGTTGCATTATTCCCAAGGACTCTTGCTTTTGAAAAAAAGCACGTTCCATATATACAAGTGTCAGTGCAATAGCCAATAAAGCAATCCGAAATATAAAAATATCCTAGATACAAACTTAAAATAGATGTTTGAAGGCTGACAATATCTGTATCCTGATATTTCTGTATCTCAGGAGTATGATCACTGGGGTGAGTTATTCTGATGAGGTAAGAGACAGTAGATGCTCTGTGATAACACAAAGCCATATATATTTTTTTTTTCTGTAAGACACAAAAATAGAGCACCCAATGAAACTGAAAGTCTTTGCTGCAATTGCCCATAGGAAGTGAAATTATAGTCTAAGGGCATTACTACATTCCTTCATCATTTATGTTTGCTGTCTTTGCCAACACTTACACCCACAAAAACTCGTTCGTTCTCCCACGCTCCCCCAGTTTCAATATAAAATGCATGAACTTTGCAGATATACCAAACTGGCAACTGCTTTAAACACAAGCAAGATCTATAAATGTCCAAAAACCACTTAGTCATTCTTTCCTTTATTGGTTGCAATTCCTGGCAGCAAGGCCAGAAAGTGATTGCAAAGCTTGACAGTTGAACAGCTCTCTCCAGAAGGGTTAGGGAGAGAACAGGGTGTGTCCTATTTGCTCTGCCTCCGGTGTTCCAGTGATGCCTCTGAACTTAAACCTCAGCTGGTTGAGCAGTAAAAATCACACTCCTTTGCTCTACGTTGTGGATGGAAAGGCTGGGGCTACTGTTCCCAAAAAAAAAAAAAAAAAAAAAAAAAAAAAAGAAGGCTACATAGTCAAACTTTCAGCTGGATGCTGCCTGCCTGTATCGTGATTCATTTTTCCTTCAGCCATCTCTTTCACTGTGACTCTCCAAGCTCTGTTGCTAAATCCTGCCTATTTCTTTACTTTCCAAAGAAAATAGCAAAATGACAGATAGACAGACAGTGTGCTCTATGTCTCTCTGTCAAAGAGCCCCAGGAAGAAGTGGCAGTAGAGCTGGGAGTGGCAGACAAGTACAACGAACACTAACTTCTACTTAGGAGGGGCAAAAATAAAGAGTTAATTTCAAACTGTGTGTCAATCTTGAGCACTCCTCTATGGTAAAGCACAATGAATTATATAGTCTCTGGTACGGCAATATTAACTTGAACAGGATATGATTTGTCTGATAAAAAAGCACAGAAAGAGCTGGCAGTCATCTTAACGAAACTTGCCTTACCACTTATGGCACACACATGCTCTGAAGTACACAGCAGTTGCCTAAACCTTTACAGGATTTCTTAGCTTTACATCTTCAATTCCAAAGCTTTCCCTTAAATATTTTCATTTTTTATCATTCTTTTCTAAGCCTCTTTTGTCTCAGGCAAATTCAGACAGCTGTGTGAGATGGAAAAGTGAAGCTAGTAACATCTGTAGTATGATGCCACTTGACAAATTATTTCAGGTTTTCTTCCAGTTTTCTGGAAGATGCTTTGCAGATATCAAAGCCTTGAGGAATCATCGTACTTCTCTCCTTAACCCCACTGAATTACTGCAAATACTGAATTACTCCTCACCACACCTTAGTAAGACAGGCTTAGTAAGAAAGGATTAGAACAATCCTTCTATTACTTCTCAAGTAAACAGGCAGGGAACAGAGGCACAGAATGACTAAGTGATTATTCCAACACCATGATACAAGTCTGGGAGAGTCAGGAGCTGAACCTGTATTTCTTGCGTCTCGGTCTCAGGTTGTCTTTGTGTTCTGTGTTGCAGTCTTATTCTTTCCCGTAGAGGAAGACTGGAATCTCTTAAGAGTTTGTCACTGCTACTCTGGTGGACAGGTGATGTTGCCAATGAGTTAGGAATTGTCGCATTCCCCACATCAAAAGCTGGAACACAGTATGAGATCCGTTTGCTGGAAGAAATACTAACCATACAGGTCCTTAAGAACATCAACATTTATTTAATATGATATAAAAGAAATGGGATATGAACATTCGTATTTGAACAATAATAAGTGGCTTCTTATACTTACATCGTATGTGCTCATTGTATAATATATACACAATGAACATAATTACATTTGTACACAAACTAAGTACTGGATTGAAAACCTGCTTATTGCTGTACACACCCTAACCCAACAAAGAAAAAGCCCAGTACCTCAAAATACCTACACTCCTTTTTATTTAAGAAAAAGTAACCACTAACATTAATGTCTATGTCGACAGAAGTGTGGCAGTAACTGCTGACGCTGCAACCTGACCGAGAAATAATTACAGCAGAAACAGGACATATTTTTACTAAGCAATAATAAAAATGGCACATTTTAAATATATCTATATGTATATATATATAAAAATTTTACAAATAAAATGTTAAAACAATAATTCATAGTGTTTAAAAAGTGTAAAACAAGGTTTGGTGGTGATATGTAAAAGTAACCGAGTTATGTATGTAGAAGAAGTAAATAAGTAAACTTATATGATCCATAATGAAAAGAACATTAAATTCTGGAGAATACCAAATAAAGTTCTGACCATAGGCTGCACATTAAAAAGAGCCGTTATTTTGTGTGCACAGAAATCATAGCAGCAAGCTGGTATCAGGAGAACGAGCTGAAGGTTGTTGAGTGTACATGTGGGCCATTTAAAGCTCTCTTGGAATAAACATTTTCCAGGAAGTGATAAAATGATGCTCTGTGGCCAAAAGCATCAGAACTATGAATTTCATAGATTTAAAATATACTGTACAATATCTTCTCATATTTTCATAGGTCAGGTCCATACATCTCAGGCATGAATTGTTTCAACAGAAGCCATTAGTGCTGAAAGACAGACACAGATTACATTATTTTAGCAACAACAGGATACTGTATAAAGCAACTCCCAGGATTAAACACAGCAAGGAATTTCTGACCTCATCCTAGCAGTAGTTATCAATGGTGCAGAACATAATAAAGTATTTTAGAAATCAGTTGTTTCCAAAATCTGTTTTCTTGATGAATAATACTACTGTCAAGGTATTCTGACAGCAAGAAGCAAAGGCAAGCTGTTTTTCAAATTTACACAACTTTGTATGAGAGCTGGACATTTCTGAGTTTTATCCTATTGTGCGCGGCCAACTTCCAAATATTCTTCATATAAAACTGGTAATAATAGCACAGACCTAACTGCTCTTAAAAATGACAGGCACGGTTTGAACAGGGACGCAGCATTGTTCAGCTACTGCAGTGTAAGGGCAGCATAGCTGTAAGGTGTTCGGAAGTTCGAGTGCTCCACCCACAGCTTGCTGCAATCTGGTAATTGCTGAAAGGACTTCTATAAATAGCTTTTACCAGGTCGTTAGTGAACACGTTTCTGAGCTTTGGATCCAGCTGCTGTATAAAACTTCATTATCCCTCCATTACGCAGTGTAAATGTAATGCTTAAAATGTAACAATGTTAGCACTACACATCCTGATTTGTCCCTGCAAAGCAAGAGCCACAAGTGACAGAGAAAGTAGCTAAAGGGTTTCTTCTCCTTAGTCCTGCGATGTCCTGTGCCACCAATCTCTGACTGCCAAATTCCCCTGGCACGGTGCCAAGAGTATCATTTTACAAGCTGACCGTAAAAGCTCAGCACAGGTATGACCTCATTATTCTCTTTAATTTACCACACATTTTCCAGACGCTGCCTGAAAAATTTGGTCGTGTACGGACAGGGCCAATGCCACAGCTCTGAAGTTCCCTCTGCTGCAGCAGATTTCTGGCATCTAAGAGACACTAAGTTCTCACATGCTGGAAGACCTGTCTTTCAGCAAAGTGCCATGCTCTGGACTACTGGGCAGGCAGCCCCAGAAGGTGAGGGGCAGGAAATACTGCAGGCAAACAGCCTGTGCTTCGTCCATGAATTTGTTTTGGAGCCCCCAGGAAACAACCAGCAGAGGCATCAAGTGCAGCAAAGAAATGGGGAATGTCTATGCACACTGTTGAATGCTTTTTCCAGCTCAATTCAAATACTAACCAGACAAAATAGATGTATTTTAAGATCTGGATTTATTTTTTCATTACAGTGAGGCATGTGCAAGCCCAGCATTAGTTTTACGAGTGCCATCTCAGATGCACCCTTCAAGCGATTAAGGCCTATCTGTAGAACGGTACTTAACGAGGAAATGTTGCAGCTACAGCTGCCTGTGAGGATACTCCAGGCTGTGGGATGTCACGGCTTGGGCATCAAGTTACAGAGCAGATCACTATATGAGCGCTTCCCTTTTGCTGGTCTCATATTTAGCATAAATCCTTAAAAAATAAATTAGCTGCTCATGGGAGTTGATGACAAGAGCTGAAAGCAACTTAATGCAATTGCTAATAAATTTCTGGTGAAGTTACAGCTTGCTTCCCCTTCCAAGAGAGATGTGCTGTGCCTTTGGGCAGAATCCAGCAGGGCAGTTTCAGTTTCACTACTGACCTGAAACTGAGTTGATAGGGTAATGTTTGTCCTATTTAAAAAGAAGATGCCTGGTAAATGCAAGTGTATTTGTATTTTCAGTGAAACTGAAAAACATTAACACAGATCAGTGTTTCCAAAAAACTGAATAATCCCACTTATCTTTTTTAAATAGTTCTCCAGCAAAACTTTTGAATAAAAGTTATTTTTTGGTTTTGTTTTTAGTTTACTGCCCACAGTTCACATAAGAAAAGTGTCTGTGATGAGTAATAAGTCTAATTTTGCTAAGATGAAAGCTTGGCAGTGGAGATTGGGACATCAGATGAAAAAATGTATTTTCAGATCTCCTCACGCTAAATGACTGAAAACGCCTCAATTTTAAAGTTTTCTTAACTTGCATTAGCTGTGGCATTTAACACTACCACTGAAACAAAGCTCATTCTTTTAATAGAAAGTTTATTCAAATAGGTACTTCCTGACAACAAAAAAATGTGAGTTGATTTAAACGCTGGTAAAGTGATGAAGCATTCACACAGATATCCTATTCATTTCTTTAAACACTTGTATAAACAAATACATGTATATTTCCGTTTGCCTCCATTAAGAGTGTAGTAAGTACAGGTAGGAAAATGTAAGGCTAGCCTAACTCATGCTTTCTACCTTGATTCCTAGAAGAAATCACCTACTATGACAAGGGAAGAGAAGCTGTATCTCTACAGAAAGAAAAAAAAAAATATTTATTCCACCCTCATTTTTTCCTTTCCTGTTTGTCATGCCTCAGCCATCTAAGTCCTAAGCCATGACCATTTTGGGCCATTAGACCATTCCCTCGTACTGACCACTAAGAGGTCTAGCTCTGGGTGCCTGTCACCATGACTGAAGCATCAAGATTAATTTGTGCCTGAGCACTGATGCTCATACCTTGACTGAGTGTCTGCTTTGTAACACCTTAGGTCTTCCACCTAATTCAAAGGGCTATTATCTTGCCAGTTGTGGAGAATGTGCTTGATAAGCCAATTAGTCCTTTCTCTTTCTACTTGGATAGTGAATACATGACTTGCAAGCAAATCAATACATGCATTTGTTTTGTTTTCCAGTCCGTTTATATTCAACATTGCGGGCAACTCTGTCTTGCAAAGTATTGTCTACAGATGTTTCTCAGAAAAACACCTGGGATACATATACTTAGAAAAATAATAGGAAAATGACAGGAGGAGTGGAAAAAAAAAATACGTACTTCTCTGTAACTATACACACATGAAATGTGATCCTTCTGTGAGCTGTGTCTGTGTAGATGGAGCTGGTGACAGTGACGATTCTGGTGAAGAAGGCAAACTTTTCGCTGCAAGTCATACAGCAAGATAAACAAGAATGCAAGTTACAAGGCATGATATCATGACATAATAAACCTAAGCTTGAAAATCATCATTTCAAGCCATAGTAAGTATAAGCAGAACCAAATGGAAGTTACATAATGATTTAAAACCTGATCAGCACAATAATCACAATTTCAGGGGAGAGCATAGCTGTTCTCAAGAAAGATCATTATTCAGACCTATAAATGCGTAGCAGAACACCAAAGGAACAAATAACAGACATGTGAATGCTGAAGTGTTACTTTGCAAAGAGAGAAAGAAAAAAAAAGAAGTAAAATTTAACCAGTTGGGATACTCCCAGACCCACCTTAATATCCCAGCTCAGATGAACTAAGCATTTTTTATTCTGCTGAGGACTATAAAATGTATTTTCAAGGTCTGGTTTTGATTATCAAGTCACAGAAAAAGGTTTGCTGACTGCACTACAAAGGTCCAGGTCACTTTTTATATCCATAAATTGAACCATTTGGCTTTCTTAACCATTCCCATCACCAAGTATCCTCATATCATCTTAAATTCTACCTTCTGCCTCCCCTACACACTCTCTTTTTCCTTTGCAAACAACAACTTTGCTTTATTCCACCCTTCTCTTCTTGTAATGCAGCACACCCCCAGCCAGCTCATGTTTTCTGTTTCTTCGTCTTTTCTTACCCTGGAAAACATGACCGAACCTGGGGTGTTTTACTTGCTAGTTCAAAATCCACTAGGTATATCGGAAACTTTCAAGCATTCCTCAATCTTGAGCATGCCTGAGGCCACAAGGAGGTAGGGGTAAATAATCTATACATATCCAAGATTCAGATGCTGTTCTACAAGACGAGTAGGGAAGCATTTGCTCCAACCAACAACTATAGTATGACACAATTTCTGGCAGTAGTTATTTAACTACCTGGATTAAATGCAACCGAAAATCTACATTACAACCTCAGAAAAATGGAATATCTGTAGTTGTCTTCTGGGAGACTATTTTCCTCTGTGTTATAAAATTGTACACTTCACATCTAGACTAGCTCAGCATTTTCAATTCACGAGGGTTTTGGAGCATCAAAAGACATAATCAAAAGGAAATAAAGTTTTACATAGGTACTGTATAAGTTGTGCTTCAAACTCTTTTCCATACCTGCTGCTGCCTGATTTCCTTTTGAAGACTGTGCTGCTAACTCAAATGAAGACATAATCCCTTGTTGTTCTTGAACACTAACTACTTCACTTTCTTCTGAGCTGGTTTTTGGTTTGTGGTTTGTAACTGTGGTCACACTCTGCAGGCTGGTTAAAAAAAAGGATAGTGTTTAGAACTCCCTCTAACATAATTTCAGGTGTTTACCACTAAGTATAAGAGTTACAATTTAATTTTCTTCTGTTAATAGAAAAAAGTTACAACTTAAAAGTTTGTCTCATATGTTTTGAAACCCTTCTACTGCCTTGTAAAGTTAGACTTAAAAGTAGTACTGTAAACTGACTTCCTTTCTCTTACATACTCATGCAGATTCCAACTGCGTGGTATCGACTCTGCTGAAGAGTGCTATGGAAAATTTATGACCTAATGTAAGAATTCACTTAGGGTCTGCACTTCAACTTACACTGAAGTGATGAATCCTTCAAGAGGAATAACCAAGACATAGTATTACTCTAGTTGTGCAGTGCTCCAAAATAGCGAAGTCAAAGTTAAAGCAGGAGATACAGAATAAACTGGTTAGTCCATTTCTAAACATCAGGGGTAAAGAGCTTGCTATGGACGCCCTGGCCGAAGCTTTCGTACTAAACTGATACAAAGCTTGAAGTGACACTACAAAATACATTTTGCATCCCAAAGCAAGGATTATGAAGGTGTTCTGTTCATAACTCGGGCAATAACTGAAAATGAACATCACCCACCAGCTCATCACCTCTTACTGAACTCCCACAGCACTTCGGTCTCTCACTAGGTTTCTCTATATGTAAACCACTCAAAAACATATATATATATACCTTACAAGTATTTATGGCAGTATTTCATTAGTTGCTGGTCCATTCAGCTAAGAAATACAATATGCAAGTTTAAAATACTCTCTGAATATCTTGGGGTTTTTTTACCTTATATCAACATCATGTGTTTCTTCCAATGTACTATTTTTCTCCTTTTCTGCTTTCTCGTCATTATTCACTTCTTTTGAGTCAGATACAACATGTGCATCTGATAAAAGATCGTCAGTTTTTGTCAGCTATAAAAAAAATGAAATCATGAAACAAAAAGCTGTAACGCATACGAAGTGGCAGATAAGAAATACAGCATCAGGAAACAGTTTTATTAACAGACAAATTTTGCCATCATGTATACTTAGTAACTCCGAATTACATAACCTAAGAAATTTTTATCAATACCATTCAGGTGAATAGAGTTATCCTGAAACCTGTACCAGCGCCAATGGGCAAGGCTTGGCTTAATAACTTCCAGAACTTATCTGAACTCTTTCGACTGCAGCCTGCCTATTTTTTCACGCTATCCTCCTCTTCACAATGCAAACAGAGATTCCAACTACTGGAATATATTGCTGAGAAGGCTAAACACTGCTTTTAAAGGTCTCATTAAATATAACCAATATAAGCGTGCCACATAATAATTTTCCTTTAAAAGATGTGCATACTTAGTAAAGCAACAGACCCTCAATAGAACATGTTTTTAAAGAACAGATGTTTATTATTTGATTTATACCACTGTCCATCAGACATATGTTTAAAAAAGCTAAATAAAAAATAGAAAAACAAACATAAAAATGAAGGAGGAAAAGGAAAAATGGATGATTAATTAAAGAATATGGACAGAAAAGAAGAAGAAAACCCTCTACACAAGATTTAAAAACTGTATTAAACTATAAGCAGGATATGATTATGTAAGAAACAACTCCAGTAATCTATTCTTCATAGCCAGTCTCATTTTGCTGTGTGTTCAGGGCACTTCAGTAAAACACAAAGGTAACTCATTACAAAGTGAGTCTATCTTAAAAAAGAAAATCCAGTGACCAAACAGTACAAACTACAGTTACTGCCTGCTTCCATGTACAAACTGTTGTCAGCTTTGTTCTGCTTCCTGTGAACTATTTGATGTTTCCTGTAACCTATCTGATGCTCTACAGCCAACAAACCAAAAAAGTCAGGTGTATTAAATGACTCTTAAAAACTACACTGAGATATCTTAAGCAATGAATAGTTCAATGGTTATTATTTAAAGATGCATTAGTATTGGTTTTGTTTCCAAAGAAGACCAAACTTCTGCACTTTTCCAATTAATCAAGCAATCAAGACAGTAACAGATAAGTAAGATGAAATTTGCAAGACCATATGCAAGAAGATTCAGTATCTCTACTATAGACAGATCTGATACAATTTTGCGCTGCTTTATAAAATATTTGTTATATCCCAAAAGAAATGTAAATCATCTAAGCAAAAGGAACTGGCTCAATTTCCCATACTGTGCTGTCTGATGCTAAAAATACTTTTCTACTGCAAGATGATAAACAGTTCAGTAAGGCACTGTTTGTTACCTCTTTAGTAAAACCTGAAATATATTCTTGTTCTCCACCATGTTTTAGTTGCGCTATTTCTTCTCCGGGACTTTCATTATTTTGTTTCAAATTGTTTTCTTTACTGGTGCTCTCCAATTCCTTCATGTTACTAGATACAGTATCATCCTTTCTTCGATTCTGTGAAACAAAATGGATAGAAAGATGTATTCTTATGATAGTTATCACAGTCTCAGTTCTGTTCTCTGAGTGTGATAAAAAAACCCCAACAATAACTTAAAAAATCTTAAGTATACCACATTGTAATAAGGGAAAGGAAAATTGTTAAGAACTTAGAATTTTCAGCCTGCCTAACAATTATTTTCTCTCTAAGATTATTATACTTTCTGCACCGCTGTCCTCTCTCCCTCTGATCTCCAGCATTCCTGTTAGTCACCTTTATCTTCTGAAATTTCATTAATATTTAGCTCAGTCACATGCAGTCTTAGTATCATTCTTATTGGCATTCATAAGTATCATTTTTTTAAAAAATAGCTTCTCGTGATTAAGAAAAAAAGTATGAAAATCTGCTCTTCCTGCAAAATTCACGGTGCACGTGTATACACCTTCTCCAGCTACGCTGAGTATCTTCCAAGCCTGTGCTCTTAACTCATTTAACAGAGGACAACGTAGCATTTGATAATGGCAGAGGATATGACTTATTTCTTTAAAAAATAATAATCTGTTGTGCAGAGAATAATTTAATATAAAATTCAGAGGAAGGATTGTAGAGGTGACTTAAGATGGCAAACTGCAGACATTGTGCTGGCAGAGTATCTGACTGAACTGAAGAGAGGCTCATGCAAGTCCTATCAGAGCAAGTACTAGGGCTGAGAAAAATACGAGCCATGAAAGCAGTAAACCTTGTAGCTGAATTCCTGTGATTTAGCACATGCTCTCTGTTAAGAGGAAATTCCATGTAAGTCATTTCACAAATCACTCTTTACTTCCCTAACTAAAGTATGCACCCATATCATACACTTGTCCCAAACACTAACAATTGTGAAACAACTTCCTTTTTATATTTTGGTAATCACTTAAAAATTACACAGTCGGCTGTTTATAAAATCCTTTTCTCCTCCAATTCTTAAATAACTGAAACCCATTTGAAAAGACATCCAGCAGTTAATGCTATTGCATCATTTCTCTCTATAAAAATCAATAGGCATAGAAACTATGCTTTTAAAAATTAGAGCTACAACTACAGTGCAATGCCTCATCTTCGAGCTTTCTGCCAGATAGCATTCTGAAAGAATTCAGGTTGTGACAGAAAAAGTGATTTTGTAGCATGGACTAGCTAAATACTCAATTCAGATACGTTCTCATTCTATAAATTTCCTACCATTCATGTGGCACTGACTTCACACAGAAGAGTGAAGAATGTGCTGACAAGAACAAAATTCCTTCGAGTTCTGCAGAGCAAGTAGTACCTGCAGAGTACTTGCTCCCTGTGTGCTGGCTCACTAGGTGTGACACAAACCTGACTACACCTTCCTCATGTATGAAGTGATACCACAGGAAAATTGGTAAAGTTCAAACACCTCTGTATAAACTACCAAAAACCCCTTTGCTTTGCATGTGCTCTTCTTGAGAAAGACACTGTTAATCAAAAATATTTTTGAGGAGCCCCCTTCATTTATAGCATTTATGATGTCATCCCAAATACAGATGCTCTAATACCAAGGCAAAACTTAAATTCAGTGTCTTCTAGGGGTCCAGTGTTGTTGAAAGAAAAGTAACTTTTGTGTAGCTCTGAAGGCAGTTTAGCAAACCTAAAACTTATTTGGAAATATGTGACTTCTTTAGAGTGCAATACATTTAATTTGGCCTTGGAAAATCAGATGCTAAGGTGTATACGAAACATAAAAGAAAGGATTTCCAGGTATGTGTAAAAATCCCAGTGTGGTCTGAGGAAAAAAGTATGCCAGAAGAGAAGGAAAAAAACCCCAACAAATGATAACTCCACAAAACATTTGAAAAAGAAAATTAATTCTCAGTTGTTAGAATGTAGTATGCTGTCTAACATCCACTACCCTGAATCTATTTGATATTTTTGTCCTGAAGTGGTGTGGGCTTTTTTGCTTGGTAGTTGGGTTTTGGATTTATGGATATTTTTCAGATGTATACACAGGATAGTATTTCTTGGTTAATGACAAGTAGTCAGATTTTCCCCCTCTCTCCCCACCCATCATGATTTAATAAACTCACTCCTTTCCCTTAACTGTTTAAGAGTGAATGAAAACAAAAGCGAGGGCTCTATTCCTATGTATTTATGGGCTCAAAAACCATAGCAAAAAAGCACCAGTTAAGTGCTATCATCATAAATATACATTCCTACCTAAAAATGTTACAGATGTTTGAATATATTACATGGCATAAGAATCTTCATAACTTATACATCAACTGAATCATGCTTCTCCCAGATGATGCTTTTAGTCACAGAGCTCGCATTTTCATGTTGTTTGCCAAATTTGACAAAAAAACCCGATGCAAAAACCCCATCATGATGCATAACTAAACATATATATATTTGAACTATCTATTTTAGTGGGCTGGTTAGCTCAGTCAGTTGAGCGTGGCGCTAACAACGCTAAGGTGGCAGGTTTGATTCCCGTTCGGTCCTCATGTGTTGCCTAATCTAGTCAAGAGGTGGCGTCCCTGGCGGCAGGGAGGCTGGATTAAAATGATCTCTAAGGTCCCTTCCAGCTTAGGCCATTCTATGATTTTCCAAAAGGACAAAGATTATCTACTGTCATTAGGTTATCAAGGGTTAGGGCTGGGACGGCCACTAAACACTGACAGATGAAGTTTGTCTTCTCCATGTCTCTTGTGTGAAACACTATCGTGTGATTTTGGAGAAAGAATGATTCTGTAGCTTTTATTTTTTTAATTGGATGCATTAAAGTTTTTCAATAACGTGGGTCCCACCTGTGCCAGTTTGAATGGATTATCTCTGATGAATGACAGACTCTGTGAAGGAGACTGGTCTGAAATGCCAATAATATTGAGTCCTTTCCTTTTCTCTCTCAGGCAAGCTTGTTGGTGTCTCTTGATTCTTTCCATCTGTTCCTCCACAGTCATTCGAGGCCGAGTGCTTTCTGCAAGACACAGCTGCTCCACTGCACTTCTTGGTCTTTCCTTAAATGGAAGAATATATATATGTATATATATTTGGTTTTAAAAAGCAAGATTCTAAACTGTTTAGCTTTCCAGAAAAGATCATCTAATGATTTACTAAAAAGCAAAAAAATAGTGGGCAGGTAAAGATCTCCCATGTATGTGAAGAAAGCACAAGAACCAACTATTAATAAATGAACATTGAAAATTCAAAATAAAAGGAATAATTTGCTTTTTTGAACAGTGACATTATTGCCATCAATGATAAACATTAGGAGAATAGGTAAGTGCTCTTTCAAAACCATCTTATCGAGTTGAAACAATTTACCAAATGTTATACAAGAGAAAAAACCAAGTTACTTTACTGAAACAGACACATAATCAAACTATAATGATGTAGGACATTTATAGTAGTTGATCTAATGTCATTTCTGCCTTTTTATTTCAAGAAGAACTACAGCTGAGCATCATTTAATGGCAAGTGCGGGCTGAAACAAACTGAAATGGCCTCAAGTTGTGCCAGGGCAAGTTTAGATTGGATATTAGGAAAAATTTCTTCACCAAAAGGGTTGTCAGGCATTGGAATAGGCTGCCCCGGGAAGTGGGGGAGGCACCATCCCCGGAGGGGTTTAAAAGATGTGTAGATATGGCACTTAAGGACATGGTTCAGTGGTGGACCTGGCATCACTAGGTTAATGGCTGGACTCAATGATCTTCAACCTAACCGAGCCTATGAATTTATCAGCACTTAAAAATCTGTAATTCTAATCATTATATTATTCCCAAAATAACAACCACCACTTTACCTACTCTGTTCTTGAAATTCACTGATGTTCAGATAGTTCTATACTTTGTATAACAAAGAAAAAAGTACTTCTGGCTAATCAGCTGTATTCAGTACATTCACAGCAATTGATTTCACATCTAAAAAGTAGCATTCTTTCTCCAGTCAACATTCTTTGATTTTCTCTTTTCTCCTGTTCCTACAATTTTTCCTCTTATTCATGCTACAACTACGGCAAAACCTTTCCCCCTTTTGCTTGAACTACCCATAAACCTCTGTCTTCAACTCAAAGACTACAGGATTCTCTAATCTGAAATGCTTATTACCCATATATTGCTTATTGTATCCTTATTTTCTAGTTGCTTTATTTTTGTACTAAATAATTTTAGTAATACAATGAATAAAACTAATATTTGTTACACAAAAGCTGTTGAAGTGCCCCTTTCCTAAGACGTCTTCTATCCTTTCAACTTAAGTGTAAACCTCAGTAGCTTACCTGATTTATCATTACCGTTTAGTTCTTGCCCAGTTTGAGTGTAGTTAAATCTCTATGAAGTTCAACATACAGGACCTTTATAATTTTGTCATTCTTTCTACCACTGTCTCCATACTGTCTCCATTATCCTAGTATATTTTTATACCAGTGAATTCTATGTAAGGAAAATTAAAAATATAACTACAACTTTCTGAAGTAACTACAGAAATTAAACTTTAAAATGATCACATCACTATCCATTAATGCTCAAGGTTATTTTAAAGTACCGTTCTTAGATCTATCTTCTTATTCTTCCTCAAAGTGACATAGGATGCTATTGTTGAAGACTCTGGTGTTGGCGATTTGGTCCTGGGTGGTACAACTCCCACAGGAAAATGTGAGCCTGTGAAACAGTAAAGCAATATACTAAGTGCTATGCAAAACATTGCCAAAATTGTTTACTGCTCTCTAGAAAGCACATGTTGTCAGACTTGGAAGCTATTCTTCAAAAGACAGAAAAGATCTTAATGCCTAACTGTCATCTGTTAAGGTGTGCAGACAGATGACGACCCCCTGGCCTGAGGTTTAGCTAAATGAATAGAACATGGGAAACTACTGCACGTGGCATGAGAAATTGCTGGACATAAAAATACAAACGTAAGAATTCTGTCTGTGAGAAACAGATAGAAGTTAGATAGAGCTATGTGGAATGGCTAGTTCTCACAGATGTTTAAGGAGGTATTATGTGAAAGATGGCCAGAGCCAGACTTCACAGCTAACTGGACAGCTGTGCTGGGGATATTTTGTGGAAAAGAGTTTGCAAGGCCAAAAAAGTGCCTGTGTAGCCAAATAAGTGCTCTCAGTTATGGTCAAGCTCGCCTAGATGATGGTGTTGAACATAAAAAATTTAGCAAAAGTGGGACCAACGAACAAGAAGTAATTATGAGTGGGTTGTTTATTTGGAAAGAAACAAAGGCTGCAAAAGGAACGGGGCAAGGGTGATGGGAAAGAAGAGGCATGGAACAGGAGAGAGGAGGGGGAACAAAAGGGGCCAGCTTTGCATCAACAAGCTGTTTGTATGCTACTCTGACCGAGCTCTGTGCTTAGCCTTACATTCTTATTAAATCTCATTCTTATATATCTGAGAGGTGGGTGTCAAGAGGAAGGGGACAATCTCCTTTCAGCGATGCCCAGCAATAGAACAAGAAAAAATGGGTTTAAGTTAGAACACAGGAAGTTCCACCTCAACATGAGGGGAAACTTCTTTACTGTGAGGGTGAGAGGTTGTGGAGTCTCCTTCTCTGGAGACTTTCAAAACCCACCGGGACGTGTTCCTGTGTGGCTGCCCTAGGGCATCCTGCTCTGGCAGGGGTGTTGGACTAGATAATCTTTCGAGGTATCTTCCAACCCCTGACATTCTACGATTCTATGACTCTATGATTACGTATTTTCCATGCGAGTGCACTTTCCCTTCTGTGTATGAGTGTGGGAGTTGCTAGGGATCTCTAAGCCAGGCTAGCTTGCAAGTGGGAGACAGCTACAGAGAGATCATACGTCTGGGGCCTATGACGGGGAAGACTGCAGGTCTGTGCGCTGGCAACAGGAGGGACCACAGGTGTGAACATGCTGCCGGGGGAACCTTCTGTCTGTGAGATGCCAATGAACTTTAAACAGGGCTAGATGGCAAGCAGAATACAAGGTGCGGGAGCCAACTGTCCAAGAGACTTTAGGTATAGGATTCAGATATTGGAGATACCAGAGGTACTGAGAGTTGATGGATGAAGACACATAGGTCCTGCCAGCTCTTGGAGGGACTTGTTTGTGTGCACGCACACATGTGTGCTCACACCCGCACATGATCAGCCAGCACGCTTTGAGCCTGGTTAATCGGTGAGTGAGAATGGGATCACGCTGTCTGTGGTGTCCCACTTTGTGCAAGGGCGGGTCTCGTTTACTCGTTGCCGATAACAGCACCGGTCTCAAGCCTGCCTGCGTTCTGTTGTGGGCAGCAGCTGCGGCTCTGCTTGTGCGTAGCCGGGCTGCGAACTCTGCCTCGCAGCTCGCTGTCAGGAGCTGAGGATATCCTCTGTCCCAATGCCTACTATGTTCAGTCCCTCCTAACCATATCCATCCCTCTGTTTTACTACTTAGAGAAGCCCTGCCAAAACGTAATTAAGCTGGTAGAAAACTGATGTTAAAACTTGCCAAAATATATAGATATAATTAAGTAATACAAGCTTCGTTTTTACTTCTTGAGATACATGCAAGAAACCAAACTATTACAAATATTGTTTCCTTGCTAATTTTGCCTAAAAAATAGATACTAAGTCTTCTGTGATCACTAAATCACTTCTCCTTGTTTATCCTGGGCTTGCACAGATTTTAAAGGAGGTATTGACTTGGGGAAGACTCAACTTTTTCTCTAAATTGTTTGATGGGCTGACAAAATAGTCTGGAGGTATTTGAATGCCAAATCCATCATTCAAAACAAAATCTATAAAGCAACAGCTTCTATCCTTTAGACATAAAAAGGATAAAACACAGCAGAAGTCTCTTATCCTTTTGTGCCACTTTTATGTACCACTCAGGTCATAAATATCCCTCTGTTCGCAGACAGCTGTAAGGGTTGCTTTACATAGTCCCATCAAAACATTTCTGTTTGATTGTTGGCATTTGAAAAGAGAGGGAAATGGCTCACAGGAGAAGTGTCTGCTACAGCAATGTGCACAACGAACTAGAAAGACATTTTTAAATTTCCTCTGAAATTGGCTAAGTTTTAGAAGCGCCCTCAGTAGGAAACTACGTCATTTAAGTATGACTTCTTAAAACAGCAAGAAAGAAATACTGCAGAGGTGAGCTGCATTTGAATCTGTTTCCTTTTCAGCTTATAAATTGTTACAACAGAATGGCATAAAAATGTTTGTTGAAACAGCATATGGTTGTAATGCCATATGCACTATAGAGAAAAACCAACCAACCAACCAGGAATAGTTTTATTTTCCCTACTGCACTGGGATTCTTATTATAGGTGAATGCCCAGAACAAGAAATATCCATTAAGAAATTCACACACTCAAAAGCACGGACTGGATGGTAACACACAGCTATGATGAACGCATTTTACCCTGCTGTTTAAGAAGATAAAAAACCTCTTGCTGCAGGCTATCACTGCCTCTCTCCTCCATCCTTAAATATTTATATTAGAAGAATTTGTATTATTGCTCTCCTTTACTGAGGACTGTTCTTCTACAAATGGACATAATAAAATTAGGTAAATAAATTACTTCTGTCTTTACAGAATAAGACAGAAAGCAGACTGGAGTGCTCAAATATATTGGTTTGCTTTACATAGTCAGAGTAGGCTTCCTCATACTGTCTTGATAATTTCTTTCCCTTTTGTCATAAATTACTATAAATAATCTGGAACACCACAGGTCAATAAAACCTAGGCATGTTGTCAAAAAGGCATCTTCCTCAATTTAGGTGGTTGATGATTAGCAAATGGCAGGCTAAACCCTGCATTTTTCACAACCAAGCTGAATGGAATTTACTATCTATCTTAAGTGAACATTACACCTCAGCAAATAGCATAGTGAATCTGAATTAACTAATTGTCTGGTAAGTGCAAGCTTAGTTATATCATATATCATAGGGCCCTTCACATTTTTTACACCCTAACTGTATGCTAAACTTAGTTGTAAAAACTTTCATTAATGTTCTGATGAAAATGATGTCCTATTATGATTATAGTTCTTGGCCAAATTCTGGCATCATTGCACTAGTCCTATGTACATGCTTAGTCCAACTATGAGCAGAGGAGGCAGTGATCTTACTGGTACTGGAAACACCAACTGTTACAGTAAAAAGAGAGGTAAGTCTAGTTACTTTTTCTAAAAGCTCTTAATATGTTTTTTGTGAGGTGTTCAAGCTGCTTTTTCTGAAGTCACCTTTAACAAACTATTCTGTGTGTTTTAACAAACAGAATTGAGAAGCACTTCCTGGTAAAAGACTCTACCAAGCAATTAGGAGCTTTTATGGAAGCTAGATGAAGAGAAGAATCTGAAGCATTTAGCAATTGCAAAGACCTTTATTGTCTGTACACTCCAAGGTCATGATCATTATTCCTATTATATCACAGGACAGAAGGCAATTCAACAATTACAAGATTAAAAAAAGAAAAAGACATTGTTTCCCTGCCTTATGAGAGCCTGAAAATTCTGTGGTGCTGCCTTTTTGGACGTTCCAGTGACATAACATAGGGAGCTTGATTCAAAAACTGAATAATTGTTCAAGGGCAAGAACATAAAATGGGTAATTGTTCAAGGGAATGGCGTGTGGGGAATGTGAGTGATGTGATTAGACATGGTGTCAATAAGGATTTCAGGGTTGTTGGTGAGTGTAATGTTTGATTTTTCTGCGGTGTAATTGACTGAAATCTTTCTTGTCATATAATTAAATCATTATTTTATCGTGGAAGCTGTTTCATCATATTAAGAAATGAACAGGCTACAAAAATTCGAAAGATTATATAGCTTCTGCAACAGCTAAAGCTATGTATTCTGTATGAAAAAGGCTGAAAGGCTGTAAACATTATGCCTGGGGACAAACCTTTAGCAGTAGATTCCGATTCTGAAATTTGTTCTGTTTTTTCTTCACCGTTAGACTCATCTACTTCTGCTACTGTAGTTAACTCCGGTTCACTCTTATAAAGCCTATAATCAGGACCCTGGGGAACGCAAGTTATGAGGTAAATAAACAGGCATTTTTGTACAAGCATTTGTGTCTTAAGACTCAACACAGTTATTTTGTGATAGCTCTGCTCTCACTTTAAGAGCTGTTCCACTGTTCAAGTGCCGTTGCAGTAGTATGGCTTTGTAGTTAGATTGAGTAACCACAGTTGCAGGCTTTCAGAAATTACAGAAAAAAAATTGACACAAAAACGCGGAGGTGTTTTTTGTTTTTAAAATGACCTTCAGGAAACAAATTTGTATAAAGCTTTAGCAAAAACTGATTCTGAGCCTCGAGTTTTATAAGAACTGTGAGCAGAAGAATCGAATTTTCTGAAATTTACCCAGATACAAGCATTTAAGTCTTAAGACATTTTATATATGTGCAGAACACGACAGGAAAATGTGAAGCACAAATGATGGAGCTTTCACTAAAGCTAAGTAAACAAAAGTAAAAACATAACACGAAAGTAGCCAGATGACAAAATAAAAATGGTGACTGTGCAAAGGAAGGGGGAATGCTTCAAGAACAATGTGGCAGTTTCAGCCACTTACACAGTAAGATCCATTTCTCTGATATCCTTGAACTTGGTGAATCTTCTTTTCTTCTGGCAGATGTACTGGGCCCCTGCTATAACAGAGCAAGGAGCTGCTATCACTGGGCAGAGGGGGGATTATGGGAGGATGCTCTGTAAAGTCATAGGACCGAGGGAGTGGAGGACGAGGTGGGACTACTTCCTCTTCCTAAAGATTGTAGAATAGTCACCTTATTTAGATGTGCACACCTGTTACAATTATTTATAACTTAAAAAAGAAAAATAGATTACCATAGCTACACCAGCTATAGATCTTGGAATTAAAGGGACAATGTCACACTAAAAAAAAAAAAAGCCACGAGAGCTTAATTTTCTTTGGGTTTCTCTGTTTTTTTTGTTCATCTGTTTGCTTTTTTTTATTTTGTTACTACCACTTAGACTGAAATACTTCAACAGTTTCATTATTCAGCTTATCAAGACTTTCAAAACTAAGACCTTCACTTTCTGTAAGATATGTATGAACTCTCTGAATCATCCTTTTAAAATTAAATTAAATACCTTTTTATCAGACTTTTACAAAGTTCTGTAAACCAGATGTACATTGCATATACATGACATACACCATGACAATGTCCCTTTAAAACTGTAATTTCTAGCCAGATTTTCAGACGAATTGAACATTTGGGAGCTCCCACAGTTTCAGCTGTTCTTGTGGGTGCTCTGGCCATCTGAGAACCAGGCTCAATATGCAAATAGACATATAAAGCAATGTATTTCTTCCCATGAAAAGTGTGGTAGGTAGAAAACAAAGCCATAAATGAGGGGGCGGATATATTTCTAGGGCAAGAGCCTAGGGAGAGGGAAAGGTAAGAAATGAAAAAGAGAAACATACTGGTGAGAATATAAAGACACAGAGCAAATGGAAGTGTAAGAATTACTACGGGAGATACCAATTCTTAAAACTAATTAATAACGCAATATTTTCACAGAAACATACTGAATACGTACGTCAGACATCCTTAAAAGAATTATAACAATGGTCATTTTTATCATAGGTACGTTAGAAATTCAGTGATGTTAGAATGGTAAATATGCTAAAATCATACCTCATTTTTATATTTAATGGCTGAAAATGTCCTTGATCCCATGATGCCTGTTTGGGAAGAAGGGGAAAGGCATAGAAAGAAAGAAAAATTGTTTTCAGTAAACAGCTTTTAAAATGTGAACTATAATCTGTTGCTATGAAACAAATCCACAAAGCATCAACTTAAAATAAATGGCTGCTTTTTTCTTTCCTCAGCAACTTTACCATTTTTTTCAAACATAAAAAAGCAACTACGGAGCTTATCCATTTAAAAATGTGTATGACCCAGTCTCACTTCCTACTAGATAAAACCGACCAGTTTACCTGCCTCTGAAGAGCTTCTTTGCTGTTTATGTTTACTTAAACCCTCCATGACATCTTGAATTCTCCACAGTTCCTTCTGAATCTGAGCACGCTGTATCCCTGCTGACTCAGTCTGCCAGAAAATAAACAACATATATAGGCAATAAATCAGAATACATGGAAAGCGGGCAAAAAACCAGAACAGAAAACCTTTTTATTTCTTTAGATTACACGGCATATCTTTTCCCAGTGAAGGAAAATAAAATGCAGTAAAAACAGACACTGTCCCACAGAAGTGCAACACTCCTATACTACCAGAAACAAAAAATGTAAGATTAACTCATTTCATAATGCGTCAGTTAATTTGACAGCTATTTGTGAGCTCAAACTCTGCTTAAGAAGAGAGTTGTATCTACTGTCTCCAGAGACAATCCAAGCTAGCTCTGCACAGGAGACCTACATACAACAAAAGTAAAGGAATCATCAGTTTCAACCCTAAAATAGGTGGAGATGAACACGGTCTTTGCATATACTCGCACACAAACCGTGGGCTGATTTGCATTCCTGGTCACGCATGCTTTGGACTGTGTCACACACATTTCTCAGCTCTCGGCCTTCCTTGTAATCTCCTTTTCATAGCTGCATAGAAAATCAATCCCTGAAGCAAAGAGCCTCTAACGCCTCCCAGCATGGGCCACACCCATCTGCCTGTCCCACAAAATGCAGGCACATCTAGGGGGAAGTAGGGGGGTGTGTGTCTCACAGAAAGATCTCCTCAGAAATTCAGAACTTACACTAACTGGCCAATCCTCCACAGCACAGCACAGCGAGGCAGTAAGATACACATCAGAACTCTTCGTAAGTAAGACCTGAAGCAATGCCTGGAGTGGTTTTAATTACCGTTTATTTGGAGAGCATGATTTAATTACATCCTAAAATATTCAGCTCAGTGAAAGGATTTTTGTGAAGATTTAATATGACTGTCACAGTAATTAAGGTCTGAGAAAACTACCCTAGTTTGGACCTCATCACTGAAACAGAAAGAGGAGGCTGCCAGACACAGGAAAATCAGTGCTGTAGCTTCGAAATAAGAGGAAAAGCTGAAGAACTTCTCAGGACTTAAAAACCTTTTTTTTTTTTTTTCCTACCTTGTAAGTTAACATACTACATGCCACTCTTTTTAAAATTTGTGTAGTTTAAAAAAAAAAAAGAAAATGAAAGTGATTTAAGTGTACTTTAAGACCTATGCCACACCTGAATTTCTCCAAGCCGATCAAGTTGCTCCTGCATGTGGTTCCTTGTTACAGTTACATCATACTCCAATTTATCATATTCTCTCCAAGCTCTTTCTAGTTCCTAAACATATGATACAAGAATTACAGATGTACATTCAAGTAAAAAAAAAGTACATTCATTTTTCTTTTTTCAGTGGCATGAAACTTCAGAAAGTAATGCAGAAATAGGTATCAGCAGTATATAAATACATATCTTAGAGAATGCAATGTTTAAACGACTTTTCAGTTTTCTAATGAAACTTAATGGATTTCAAACAAACGGCATTTTGTTGTTTCACAAACCAAAAAGATAGGCAAGGGTGAAATCTTCAGAATATGTCTTTATAATCAACAAGCATGTGGGTCTTAAGTTGTCCTTTCACCAAGGCAGAAAACCACAAAAATGGAATCATATTTGTCTCTTTCATTATATAAAATACATATATGCGAGTGCACAGCATGTGCATGTAAACACAATGTATTATGCAAGAAAAATATAAGTCATCCAACTCTGCTCGTAAGGTTACCAGTGAATGCCTCAGGCCTCCTAACATACCATTATTTTTACATCTGCAAAACTACAAAACCAGAAGGTAGAATGTGTGAAAAAAACATCTTTGAGGTCAGATCTACCATCTCTTTAGGCCTACATCAAGCAATTAACCCAATTTAGCATAAATTAAGAAGTTAATGAGGGAAAGTGTATCTCAAGGATTTCCTTTCCCCTGATTCCCTTCTCCTTGTCCAACCAATTCCTTTTACAACACAGTCTAATGTTCAGACTAAACCCTGTATTTCAGGGCCTACTTCGTATCAATTTAACCAAATATCTTTTTTGGCTATACGTGTAAGTAGGCAAAAACTATTCTTTGTCTTCATTTCAGTGTAGAAACCATCACAAAGTGGAAAAGCACAGTAAACAGCAATTCCCTTCCCTTCCCTTCCCTTCCCTTCCCTTCCCTTCCCTTCCCTTCCCTTCCCTTCCCTTCCCTTCCCTTCCCTTCCCCTCCCTTCCCTATTTTTTTTTAATATTTTTGCAAGTGTGTAACTTGTAAGATCTTTTAAATATAATGGCCCACTATTAAGAAAGACCGTGACTGTATAATCTCTTCTTCTTTTCATCCTGCAGGTGCTTTTGCTTAAAACATCTGATCAAATATCTGATAAAGTTTGCACTTGCTACTATTTTGCCATCACATAATATAGCTTATTTGCATATTTTAACTCTTCCATAATCAATTTTTCTTATTGTAAGGATGAAAATTGCCATACCAATTACAGTCAGTATGCAGTCATTCCTGGTCAAAAAGAAAAATTAAAAAAGATAATGACTACTTGATGAATATGGTGAAAAGATCACTTTCCAGCTGACTTTGGCGAAAGTACAAGCAAGTAGAAGACAACTGAGTTTTGTAGGAACGTAATGAAAAATAACCAAAGAGAATCCAATTAAAAAAATGAACATGACAATAACTGTGCAACACTTCCTTAAATGTACAGGCAAGAACGTATTACTTACTGCAGTAGCTCGCGATACTTCTCGGCAGGTGCTAAGCAGTCCATTCTGCAAGTCATCTCTCTGTAAGACTACGTTTTGTATGGCTGCGGGATTATCTGCGTTCATTTCTATCTCCTGACTTGCTGATAGCAAAGCTTGCTCAAGCGTGTACTATTGTAATAAAAAGAATTATTTTTAATGCTCTGCATCATCGGGCTGATTTTCATTTTATTTCAGTTATCAATGTTCTGATAATAATCATGTAAAATAATATCCATTTTAGGTAATAAATATAATTGTCCTACTTTCTCCTTGTGTAGCTGTTGAAGCTTCTCCTCCAGCGCTTGTACAACTTTATCTTGTTCACATAAACGGCTAAGCTTAGCCTAATATGTAACAGAAAATGATCACAATTAGGATTTCATTTTAATAATCTTCAGTAATCGAAACGCAACTTGATCAAATCATTATATGAATCTATACAGAATATTATTACCACAAAATATGAATTCTAAACTTATGAAGGCATCAGTTCTGCATTTTCAAATTAACCTTAAAAAACTCTCCTAAGATATTATGAAGTGTTATTATAACTTGAAACAGTGTGGCTCAAATCACGTAATTTATGACTCTACAGATGAATCTTTACAACTTGATAATAGGTTTTAAATACCATTTTAATTGATGTATTCCTCAGCATTATAAAGAATATGGTATATATTCACAGTCTTCCCCATGGTTTATTTCAGGAGGTAGTTTTTAATAGTTAGTTACTGGTACTACCCATGCTCTGCTCTTGTTTAGCTCTGATCAAGGCTTGGCTATGACTAAAACTGCTCCACTCCAGCTCCACTTTGAGTAAGTAACTGTCCAGTGCACCCCAAGCAATTCGAAACAGTTTACTTCTCTGTTTGAACAATATTTTTGGTTCAGTTTGTGCTGCTCTGAGTTTTTAACTCTAAGACTGGAAGCCTACTTTCTGTTTAGTAAAATAACATCCCTTAAATCATTATACCTACTCTCAGCTGCATTGTGCAAGGATGACTAGAAATGCATATTTATGTATACGCAGTATGACTATATGGGTGTATTTTTCACTACCAATTTTACACCGAGCCCCTTTATTTAGTAACTAGCAACCCAACACTCTGAACGGTAACAAGCCGTGCCAAATTTCAGTTCTGGAGTATCGATTATATTTCCTGAGAAATCACATCTCTCATGCTTATAAAGGAATCACAGCTACAGAGTTTTTTCCTTCTAAAATAATTAATTCCTTTCTAGAAGCCAAGGGGGAAATAAACAAAATAAAGAGACAAATACCAACATTTCCAAGAAAGGAAAAATACAGATGACTTACATCAATATCCAGCTCTTCAGTTCTATATTTGTATAGTGTACCCCTACATTCTTCTTGTGTTAACTATAAGGAAGAATAATATTGCCATAAAACAACTTAATTGGACTATGTAAACTAAACTACTGTTCAGCTTAGAGAGTTTTAATACAAAAATCACCTTTTGCTTCAAAGTCAAACATACAGCATCGAACAATATAATTTTAGCCAATATATATTTATGAAGGTAAGTAAATGGAATGTCAAGCAGACTGTCAGTAGAAAGTTGCATCAACTTAACAGGCTACGTTTCTAATGCAAATTGTTTTTTTAAAGATGTACAACTAACTCAATCACACATGGATTATGTAAGAAGATGAGACTGCCAGAGTATACTTAGACACAGTTATAAACATTTATGTGCATTTTCTTATGCGCATTCTAAATACAAGGGCTCATTCTACTTGGAATTAATTACTCTAGGCCCACTAAAGTCAAGCACATTCACAAGGAGGATGTTCTTATGTGAATCTGAAATCGGAACAGAATGACTTAAGTAAATAAAATGTGTGTAAAATATCTCATTGCAGACACATGCCAAATAAGTGCCACCATACACCTTTCTGCCTACTTTTTCATATGAATTCCCTCCCCTTCTACAGAACATTACCATAAATGCCATAAATGGAAACTCTTTGATGTTATCTTTGGACCTAGGCAAACTTGTCTCCTCGTGCCAATTAGCATGTAAGGTGTCCTCAAACTACTTTCATATAGCTCCTCACAGTAAGTTCTCAAATCTTTCAGTCTCTGAACTGACCAGTAACAAGATTTAAAAATATATTAAGTGAAAAAATGGAGCTCCACAATTTAGAATGGATTGTTGCATATATAGTAACTACTTAATGTCCTATACAGCAAGTACTGGCATAGTACTATCAACCTTGGTATTCTATTTAAAACATGTGTGCATGGAATCTCAACACAGACGCCTTCCTTTCATATATCTGTCATAATTAGGTCATTATGAATTAATAGTGCAAGAAAGACTATAAAAACACAAGTCCATGTTAAAGTACAATTATAAATAAAAGGACTAGGGAAGGGTTAATCAGACAAGCATTCCACACATACAGTAAATCTTCAACACACTTAAGTGTTTCATTTCAAGACATTATGTCCACATACCTCATGCAAATGCACCTGGTGACAATTTAAGAGTACGTATAGTATATTAAAACCACACAGTAACTCTCTTTGAAATGGACATTTTATGAAAATGAGTGTTGGAATATGAAAAAAGCCACAGCACTTTTGCACTTCATGAATGTCACAAAAATTAAGATATCTATTTAAACTCCTACTATTGTAGAGTTGTTGTTGATTTGATCACAATGAGAGAAAAATGAGGAATGGAAATATTTTAAAAAAACTCATAAACATGGCCAAATGTCCTTAACTTACAGAGAAACCCTAGTTGTATTTCACAACACAAAGATTTTACCAATTAAAGATTGTCCCCTATTAGAGATATACATCTTTCCAAGACACTGCTCAGCCTTTTATATAGCTTGCCTGGAAAAACGTAACGCTATTTTTTCAAGCCAGAATTTTTTTCACTTTTTTATTTCTTAAAAATGACATACATTTATTTTTTGGCATTTCAATCTTAATTATAGCCAAGCTTAAAACAGCCTTCCAATTGAGCAACCTTATCCTTGCCCACCTCCTAAACAGAATATATTTTAGGCATTCAGAAAACGAAAACACATTTTCAAAGAACACTATACATGTGCTAATTGTTCTTATGAAAATCCTGTCACACTTTCAAAATTGCTGACAACTTCTTGCTTTTGTCACTGGTACTAGTTACCCACAACACGCACTGCTGGAGAGCCACTTCATTTCAACAGTTCTACTGCAAAGTTTTACAAAAACTTAGCCCCAAAATCTCTAAAAATGGCAAGAAACACTTAATCCATCTCTGACAAAACTGCAGCTTCTCCTTCTGCAGCACATCTACAAATCAGCTTAAGGCAAGGAGTGCAGAACACTATCGCATCCTACCGGAATTAGGAGAGGAACTGCAGTAGACAAAATGCAATTACACATTACAAGCAAGGTTAACAAGCTCGTAACCCTGGAAAACGCATTATAAGAGCTCCAACGATCAAGTTATCTAAATGTATTTTATGTCATGTTCAACGAGCGCGCCTCTCACCAAATTGTTCCTACAAATCCTTTAGCAGGGCAGTGATTTTGGGGAAAGAGCTGAGCCTCTGACTTGCTCCTGACTTCTATGCTTTTCCTCGATGCTTGCCAACTCCCACTCAAGAAAGTCTGCTCCTCTTAACACGGGGAGGGATGCTGCTCAGCTCCCAGAAATTGAGGAGCTGCACCCCGAATGCCTACAAACAGAACTTACCATTTCCGAAAGGTAACCTCTCCATGCAAGAGTTTGGCCAAACATGTATCTTACACGTGGAAAGGTAAAGCGACCTTAAGTGAATCTCCATCTTAGAAATAATTTGCCATTTACTTAACCGCTCCACTGTACAGTCCCTATCTCCATCAACACCAGTGCCAGAAGAATCACAGAAGTGGATAAATCCACCTCAATGGGCACAACAGAAGATGTCCTCAGAGGGAAACTTCTTCTTAAATAAATGTAGATTAGGCACACCCCCTCTCTTGAGACCTGAGAGCTTAAACCTATTTAAGCAGTCAATATTGAAAATGTTTAAGGGCCAGCATTATTTCATTACCGTAAAAGCTATTTTCAGATTCTGCTAACCACTCTGATTCAATAAATATAGGGCAGGACACTTCACACCTTGTGAGCACACTAAGTACCTCCGCAAGACTACTGCACTCAGGAAATTAGAACTACCTAGGACATTTTGTGGGGAGCAGGAGGTTTAAGTCAGACTTCCAAGAGGCTTTCTGTGGGCTTTTTTCTTTTTTGAAGTACAATGTCATATCAAGAATCGGGGCAAACAGGCATTTACCCCACAGTAAGCAAGATTCTCTTCTAATTTTGCATAATGCAACAGAAAACATTTCAAATACAAATTGGAAATATAAGATTTTTTAAGCTCAAATGAAATCATCTCATGTACATAACAAAACCTCAAAGATATTCCTACCTACGAATCTCAAAATAGTTTAAATGTATGAAGCTGCTATAATTACAACAACAGTAATAAAAAGTATGCTATAAACAAGGACTCCCTATCCTTACAGAAGGAAGAAAAAAGCAAGGACTATTTTTTATAAGTTTTTAATGTATTAAGAACAATTGCCCAAGCAAAGACATGGATGTTAGCTTGTTGAATTTGGACTTTCATTTTTCCCCCTTTAGGGTACTTTCACATGTAAGAGGAACTGATGATAATTCTATTTTTTATGATCAGAATATACTGCTTTAGAAAAGAAGATTAACACGCCTCATCTAATATAAGAAAGAAAAAACCCCCAAACATGGTAGAAATAGATTCAGGCTCTACTTTCCTTGTCTGTACATATGGAATCATTGCACTGGCTTATAATTGTAAATTTATAGTACAGTCTGTAGAGCAGACTGATGTAAGTCAAAGTGATTTCAATAACTGTGAAGCTGTAACAAATCACAAAAATGTCTTGTAACGTATTTGAAATAGTATATATTTTAGCTATTTTACTAAAGAACCATTAATCACTACAAATAAACAGGAAGTAAGACATCTTACTTTCTAATTAAATAAAAGCTTTTCTTGCTTTCCTTTGCTAACTCTATAAAAGCTTACTCACAAAATTGAACTCAATAATCTGAAGCAAAGGGAGATCTTTACCTACAGGAATGATTACAATCATTGGAAACTAGTCTGTCGTCTTGACAACAAAGCAGGTTTCAGTCACTTAGAAAAAGGTTTTTCCCAATTGTTCACATTTCTTTACAACTTCAGTGGAAAAGACGACTGGTAAAACTCATTTATTTTATTTGAATAAAAAACTATATGTTGCTTAAACTTTAAGTAAGTTGTCAGAATTTTAAACAAAAAATTCAGATGACTACGTAGGCAGTGAAATTTTGTGTGTATTTTTATCCTTTCCTGAAAGTCAGTTAATGCAATATTTCATATAGGATACATCAACCATGAACGTGGAAGGTCTTGCTGTTCTCCAGTTTATGCAATACGTGGGTTCTTCCACACAAGCCTGCCAACATATCACAAACACTCTGCCCTGAAGAGACCACATCCCTGGTGACAAAAGGTTATTCAATCTTCAAGGCCTGTTAGATTCACTGTTTCTTTGACAAAAATGTCAAAAACGGTGCTTATTCAGTGTCAAATACGAAGCAGAATGTACATCTACAAGGTGGAGGCAGCAATACCTTATAGCTGACAGCGTATCTCCGCCAGGACAACACCCTAAAAGGTACTGGTATCCCTAAATAAGTGGGGAGACTGGCCCAGGCACAGCTATACCTCTGATGTGCCTCTATTAATATTAGAAGTTGAGCTAGTTTACCCTGGCACATACACAGCACCTCTGTTCGTTTTATGTATGTTGAATTATTTGACTTACATACTCAATTAGAGAAAATTGATTTGCTTTAAAAAAAGCAAACAGCTAGGCTTCTCTAAAAAAAAAACAACAAAAAAAACCCCCAACCACACCAAAAACCGTTTCATTTAGGGTTTGAGGGCACTTTACTTCTCCCATTCCTCTCCCAGATAGCTCCGTCAAGTTCCACGTTAAAGGTCCTATTTTGCACACAGGAGCACAAATGAAACGATCCTGAAATTGAAGTCACTCACATGCCAAGTCCCTTTGGGACGTTGAGATTTCTTGCAGCTTTTCTGGATCACAAGCAAATCTACAATGTGGAGTGGGCTTCCACAAAAATGAAACAGGAAATTAAACTGGACCATTTTTTAGAAACATGGCAAAGGGTTAATCACTAATAAATGCTTGGCTTACATGGCAGAACATCTCCTTCACTTTGAACTATGCAACCTTTACCTGTCGCTTTGGCTCCCAAGTACATAAATGCAAGTTTAAGAGAACTGGTCAAACATTCCCTTCTAACTGAGCATCAGAACTGCACACCCCAACTGCTGCAAAACACCGCAACCATTGAAGTAAGAACAACATCTTTGCTGTAGTAGAGAGCAGAAACTTCTTAATCATTCCTTTATGTGACAGGAGCTGCTCAGTTAAGCCCCAGGAGCCCTAAGACACTGCAGTGCCAACAGATACGTATTGGCCATGCTCATAAGTTAATGCAGGTCTCAACTCACAGACAATATTTCCATTCACATTTCGGATTCGTCTTCCATCTTACCATTTACAACCATCACTAGAGACTCTGTAAGCGTGCACGGTTAAGTCTGCTGTGACTTTATGAACAGACACTGCTTTTTGGATTTACAGTCCCCAGATCAAAGTCATTTTGATCTTTCCTTTCTTCAGTGGCTAAAGGCTTGGTAGGTGCAAACAAAAACTTGTAAATCCACTTTCTAGAACGAAACAAAATTGCCAGAAATGACCAGGTAAATGCCACTCACATGCTTTTGTAGTGGTCAAAAGAAAAAGCCCTTTGAACACTAATTGCAGAGAATCATGCTAAGACAAATGTTGGAAGCTTATTGGAGGTTTTATGAATTTACTGGACACCTGCATAAAGCATCAACTAATTAAATCATCTAGACAGAGAAAGTTATTCAAAAGTGTACACTTAATACTCAACAACAAAAACGCAGCAAAAGCCATGCTAACAATATTGCAGCATTTTATAAAGCATGGATGACTTGTGGTTTTCCAAAGCAAATAAGAGAAACACCGATGTCATGAATAAATCTGAGGAACAACCAAAACTGTCACTAAGGAAAATTTTCGCAGATGATAAAGCAATTTCATTCACTATCCAAGACCTTACTTGCTGGTACAGTTGTGGTCTTAGCGCCGAGTTCTCAATCATAGTGTGAACCATGGTGATTAAAGGTTCATTCTCTTTCATCTATTTCAAATCAGGAGGAGCATACAGCAAACATCAGTTTACAGCATGGCTAGATTTGAAAGACGACACTGTAAAATATAGCCTCTACTTTAATTTTTTCTAATAATGCAGTAGATTACATTTTATCCCATGCTTTTTATATATTCCATCATTCAGCAATATCAACATTTGAAAAGTTTAATAATATCAAACAAATGTATCAAAACCACATAAATGTTCAAACCCAATGTAATATTTATTCACCAACACTCTCCCTTTTTAAAAATAAAAAAAGGCTTAAAATAAGCCCGGCTTTGCATGATATCGAAATGAAAAGTATTATCAGATTATGCGGTAGGAACACTCAAACCTTTATAAAAAACTTTTAAATAATATATTTAATAACTCAATGTACATTAAAAAGACATAAGCATTCACAGCCTCTGAATATAGAGGCGAGGTTTAGACTTAGGTTCACGTATCACAAAATGTCTTTATATACTGCACTGATTTATATGATTAGGAACTTAGAATCATCACTCATTGCATCTACCCACCCCCACATATGGGTGTGAAACTATTTCAGAACCGGTCAGACATTTTGTAGAATGATCAGCATTTACTGATGTGCGCAAATGTCAAAACTTTGATTATTACAGTAAAAATTGCATATATTTAGGATTTCCAAAAAAGATGCAACACGGGAAATCCAGGAAGGAAGTGTACATATGAATAATAATGATCTTTAACTCTGTCTTTATGTGTGTGTATATATATATATATGCACTCACCATGAATTTGTGTGGCAATGTATTGTTTCACAGACTAAAATGCAACAGAATGCCTGAGTTTTTGATGCCTTTTAGAATTTCTTGCCCCTAACTATTTATAAAAAAACCACTAACATAATGGAGAAGTAATTCTTTTCTTCTTACGGGAAACACATTCTTCTTGTTATAGATAGAGGACCTTTTGTTGTTGTTGTTGTTTTTTTACACACAGTGAAGTCTGATCAGCTTGTAAGTTAATCACCATTAAAGACGACCTCATCTTAAGAAGGCAAGCTTAAATGCTCTGTTTGTTCTAATGCAGGAAAAAAACCAAACAAGCAATGCCTCCCGTCTGCTCGTCATGTACAATACACATAAACAGAAAACTAGAACTGACACAAGAAGTTGTACTCTCTTTACACCAAAACTCTGTTCAGAGAGTGAGCGCACCAGGTGATACCAAATGATATCTCAATAGTAAGATTAACAATAAGGTCCAAAGCCAAACAATCAAACTACAGTCAACTGACATATTTGTAAAGAAAAAAAAATACTCTGAGGCTGAAGTATTTTATTAGGAGTATACTGGTTTGGAAGCATTTTTATCAGGAGGATTTCAACAGCTTCAGGCTCTTTTGGCTAATTCTTCTTATAATATTTCAAAGTTTTCCTTTCTGACAGATAACAAGACAATACAATGACAGAATTAGTTTCTGCAGAAGTGTTCAAAGATTGCTTTCATCCTGATTAGAAAAGAAGCAAAGTGGATTTGCTAAAGAGATGTTCTGGAGTAATGTTTTGTCCTCCAGTGAGCTCTAACTTTGATTTATAGGACCTCTTCCAATATTTTTAATACCATTGATGCTTAACCATGCTTATGTAACACTCTTTGCAAAGTCCAGTTATTTCCAGCACAGCTCCAGTTCCTTAAGCCCTTACAGAAAAAAAGATCAAAAACCAGATAATTGGTAAAGTAATTCCAACCAAAGAGCATTTGTAGTAGTCAAATATATAAAGCTTTTCAAACTTGTTTCCCAAAATATACTGATACTGAACTACTGAGAAGTTCCAGGTATCTGTCACAAACCTTCCACTAATTAAAGCTAAGGCACGCACAAGTTAATGTGAAGAACTGGCAAAGTAAGCCAATGCTACGTGGGACACAATGACAAGTCCTATACTCTAAAAGATGAAGAGGATACCTGTTTTGTGTTCTTAAAGCATATAATGAGGCTACTCCCAAACTGAAGTTCGAGATGATTCACATTGAATAAATAGTTTAAGGAAAAATAGTTGCTTGTTCATAAAAGAAATATCCCTTGATTTTCTCTCTCTTCAGAAAAGAAAAAAATAAATTGTACAGTAAAGGACATATTTTAGATCCCATGTATAATACTAATAGTATTATACTCAAAGAGTCTTTCCAGTTACAGAATTCACAAAAATTGGAATTAAGATTTTCACAAACCAAAGTGTGAACTGCCTAGTGCCACACAGCAACACAGCAGTAAAACCAAGTAAAATCCAGCAGTCCTGGCTTTACCTCTTTCTACTTCTAGTAGCAACTATTTCTTCTAAGAACTGATGCTTCACCTTTACTTTTATTTTTACTGATGTAGTTGTAGTTTCTAACCACAACTGCACTTGGAAACAAAGAAACAACCACCTCTTTGACATATGATCGATATGAACAGCTACATTACTTATGAGCGAGCATCCGAGCGGGTATTTTGTGTATTAAACCACATATATAAAGCCAAGCTACTGACCATCTTTCTCTTCCTTCCTCTTCCTGAATTCTCTTCTGTGTTTGCTAACACCCTACAAAGACAACATTTCAGTATGTGCTGTGCTGGTGGCAGCAATGAGCTGGAATAGTGGGTCCCTTCCAGGGAGGTGACCTCACTGATGAGGTAAGGTCATATGTTAAGGGTGACAAAAGACTGAACTTAGACTGTCAGTTTTATCCATTTCCTCTCACCCTTCCTGAGGGTAAAAGGACCTGGAAATAGGACCTGACCAAGCTTTCCCCCCACCCTTCCTCTGCTCTTTAATCTTCTGTCCAAAAAAAAGAAGGAAAAAAACAGTTTTCCTTCCTGCCTTCTTTTTACAGCAATGATGCCTCCAGCGTAGTTTTTTTCACCCTACAGGGCCCCTGTCCTTGAGTAACCCTTCTTACCCTGGGGAGGGGAAAGACAAAAAAAAAAAAGCAGCAGAACGAACAACAGTGGTGGCTGAGTCAACTCACTCTACCTTTTCCAGACAACCTGAAAAATCCAAGAGTAGTATTCTACATGTTGCTAATACAGGACATCGAATTCTAGGCTGAAACACAAGGTATCAGATATAATACAGGGTATCTGTCCACTCTAACCAAACCCCCTTGTACTATTCCAGCTTCCTTTAATTTATTACATTTTCCCAGAGCCACCTTCAGGATCTCAGAACGAGGGAGGTAGAGTATGGATGTTGGCTGTGGGACCTTCACTCCTTTGTTTGACAACTTCTTGTTCAAGTTCTGTTTATTTTCATGCACCCTCTGAAAACTGAAAAAAAAACTAAAAATGAACACACCAGAAGTATGTGAGCTCCCTGACACCTAAACTATCGATGTAAAGAGCCACTTCAAAAAAAAAAAAAGACTAAAATTTAGTAGAGCTTCTACTGTGACAAACCAACCCAGGATATGCTGAGATCAACACGACAACATGCACATAGTGTTTTACATAGGTAGCTTGAGCACAGTAGAAAAAGGTTTTTCAGCCAAAGAAAAGTTTTAATATCAACATAAAATTCAGAAGTGTACTAAAAGACTAGTTTGCTGGAATTCTCTGTAGTAACAGGAAGATTCACATGGGACCTCCTGTCATGGCTTTAGTTACAAAGGAGAAAAAAGGCGTGTCCAGCTTTTATTTGAAAAAAAATACTGCTTTTTGTTACGTTATTGTAATTAATGGGACAAATACGTTACGGAGATTGCTGGCTTGGATTTAGTAACACACAAAAAGTGACCTCTTAAAATTTGATAGTGCAGAAGACTGAGATCTTTATCTGAGATCTTTATTTTATCTGAGATCTTTATTTAAAGATCTTTATTTAATATTTTATTTAAAGATCTGAGATCTTTACTTTATCCGAGATAAAAAGTGCCTTCATGACATGCCCCACACTGGCAAACAAGTCATTATTTTCTAAGGTTGCTCAAAGAACTACTTAAGAGGCACCTCTCTATGAACCCGGAGCCAGCAGAGTGGTTCACAACCTTGCTACAAAAAAAGATGCCAGACAGCTATTCTTTTGGCTTTAAGACATCAAAGAAATCACATGGCTGGATCTATGTATGTCAGTCTCTCCATTCTTTGTCTCTGAACTCCAACAACAACAACAAAAATTCTGAAAGCATAACACAAACCCATCAAAAACTGTAATGTAAGAATTTCTAAGCATCTCAAAATGAAAGAGCAGTACAAAAAAACCCCATGACTTAAAACAGGTATGGGATTTTCTTGAAGCTACCTAACCAGCAGACAATAACTTACTGCAACAGCATAAAAGTTACCTTCCCTACA